CATGTACAGAGGTCACTGACCAGAATGGAGGAAGGACTGGATGCCAGCTCATACAAGGGTCTGCTGAAGGAATCAGGCATGTTTAATCTAGAATATAAGAGATTCAGGTGGGTGGAGAGGGAGCACACACGATTTATTGTCTGTATGCATCTGAGACGTTGTCACGCGGAAGAGGAAATGGGCTTGTGTTTGGTCCAAGAATGACAAAATCTAGAAATGATCGCTATACAGACTATGTGAGAGGCAGAACCAGGAAGACCCAGATTCAAGTCCTGCCTCTGACTGTGGCTGTGGGACTCTGAGAAAGTGATTTAACCTCCCAGGGCACTAAGGTACCTTTCCAACACCATAAGGAGCAGAGAAGGTACGGACTTTTGCACAGGTAGAAGGATATTCCTTACTTGGAGGTTTCCTCTATCAATGAAAGCATAGGTCCATTCCTCTATCCATCTATCTATGTCTATCTCTCATCTAGTTCTCTCCTTTCATCTATATCTAATCTATATCTGTCTCTCATCTATTTATCTACTATCCATTTATTATGTATGTCTTTCATCTATATCTATTCATCTATTTATCTATCATCTATATCTAATCTATGTCTTTCATCTATTTATCTACTATCATCTAGGTCTATTTGTCATCTACTTATCTATTCTCATCTAATTTATCTGCATACATAGACATATATATGTATATGTGTGTGTGTGGGGAGGGAGAGAGAGAGAGAGAGAGAGAGAGAGAGAGAGAGAGAGAGAGAGAGAGAGAGAGAGAGAGAGAGAGAGTGTTACTTTCTCTCCCAAAGTCCTACCGATGATTCCTATTCCTAAAATTGTTCCAGCAGAGGCCAGATAAGCATTTGTTAAAGGATATGTAGTGAGGATTCCTGTTTTGGATGAAAGAGTGCAATAAATGAACTCTCAGGTCCCTTTCACTTCCAACATTCCATGTTCCTAAATACAGAAAAGAGTTAACTTTAGAGTGGATATTTCAGCTGAAGACTTACAGCATACATGACTGTTGTCTCCAAATGATTGAAGGGTTGTCATGTGGAAGACGGATTAGCCATGGTTTGCTTGGCCCCAGTGATCAGAACTGGCACCGAGGAGTCCTACTGAGGGGTCCTGCTGGGAGGCAGACCCGCTCAATAAAAAGAAAAACTTCCTAACAATTAGAATGGTCTAAAAGGAGACTGTGCTGCCCCTGGAAGGAGTGAGTTCCCAGACACTGCAGGTCTTCAGAGAAAGGCTGAATGTTCACCTGTGGAGATCACTGTAGATGAGATTCCTGGATTAGATAACCTGAGGTCCCTTCCAGCTCAGAGCTGCTTTGTATTAACCTATTTCTTTTTCAAACTTGTTCACAGAAGCATTGAATAAATTATATTTTTTGGAGAGATTATCTAATTTCTGCTTTCTGGGATATCAGTCTGGCCATCATCTTAACTTTAAAATAACTGTGAAAGAATGACTGCAACCATGTAAATGGAAATAATAACAGGAAAAAAAAAGGAATGAAGTCTGACTCTAATGAACAAACTTGGCCCTGAAGAAACAAAGAGATAATGCAACTCCCTCTCATTTTAGCAGAGGTGTGGGACTATGGGTGTGGAGAAATTCTTATTCTGCCATTCTCAGTGGATGTGCTGGTTAGCTTTGTTGAAATTATCTCCCCCCACCACCACCACCACACACACTACCACCTCCTTTCTTTTTTACTCTTTGTTCCAAGTGATGGATCATTGGGTAAGGGAAGGAGGAAGGACATACTGGCTATCCTACAAGTCTTCATGCACTTTTAAGCTTTAACAGCTTAATACTGCATTAAGACCTTTGTTATACTTACAAATAAAAGTGATAAAAATGAAACTGTCGCTAAAAAAAAATTGTACTTTTTTTTTTAAATAAGTAGTGACCAGTATCATGAAACATTAAAGTTTTTGAGAGAGGAAAAAAATAGCCAAAATAATTTAAATGATAATGATATCCTTTTTCTTACAGAGTAGATAAGGAACTGAAAAAGCTGGCTGACTAATACAATTAGTGAAAGGAAAAGGTATCAGGTTCTTAATAGTTATGATGTTGCTTGAGTTCTAGATCTTTATTACTGAATATTCAAAATGAACGGTAGTTTCTTAAATCAAGCAGAGAATTGGGAACCTGTGCCATGGACATGTGGTCTAACAGTCTGTTGTGGAGCACAACAGACCATGGAATGACAGAAACGTACTCAGAATGTCCAAGTACTTAGGGAATGTTAAAGTGTAGAGCAGAATCTCACAAAGTCGACCTGACCTCTGGCACTTGCTCCTTGATAAACTGACTGGGGCACCATGCTTATCCAGAAGACAATATTGTCTAGAGACAAAACCACCTGACTGTTCAGGATGTGATCATGAACCAGAATTTCCTGTGGGCCCTGGACATTCCAGGATACTTGTGTTCTTTGACCCTGCTCAGCTGACCCAAGGGTCCTCTTATAACCAGCTTGTGAATTCCTCATGGGGCACGTCTTTTGTTTTTGTTCTACACCATCCATAAACGCTCAATAAATAACTTTGGACTGATGGGTAAACACAAAGGATACCCAGAGAAAGGACTTATGAAGAGGCATAGATGTAGTGCCTGGCAATCCAGAGGCAAAGGACGCATCCATGGACTCTTATTGCCTGCTGACCTCCCCTCTGAAATCATACTGGAGAATTCCCTTTACAGCCTGCAGTCTCCTCACCACTATCTCACTCCTTTACCCTGTCCACCCCACCAGAAATTTGAACTCTACCTCTAGCTGCCATCTCTCTTTGATGAGTCTCATCTTGGTGGGTACCAATCCACCATGACATTCCCACTTCCTGCGATTCTCCAACTCCAGCTTTTGTGCAGCTCTACATGTGTCATCTTCCTCCATTTGAGGGTAAGCTCCCTGAGGACAGGGACTTCTTATTTGCTTTTCATTTTACCCTCAGTGCTTAGTACAGTGTATGACACATAGTAAACCCTCTACCTATGACTCACTCATTATTTAGAATTTTATTGGTAAGTCTTCATTAAAGTCTGTGTTGTTTGTTTGTGCTCCCTGAACTGATGGCTATCCCCTGTGCCTAGAATTCCCTCTCCTCATCTCAGGCTTCTGGCTTCCTTCACATCCCAGCTAAAATTATACCTTCTATGAGAAGCTGAGGCTTCCTAGTGCATTGGGCTTGGAGACTGGAAGACCTGAGTCAAAACCTGGCCTCAAATGTTTAACTAGCTATCTGACCTTGGGAAAATCACTTAACCTCTGTCTACCTCAGTTTCCTCATGTATAAAATGGGTATAATAATAGCACCTACCTCTCAGGATTATTGTGAGGGTCAAATGGGATAATATTTATAAAGTGCTTAGTACAGCTCCTGGCATATAGCAGGTGATAAATACATGCTTCTTTCCTTCCTAATCCCTCTTAATGTGAATGTCTTGCTTATCTCCAATTTATTCTGTATATATCTTCTTAGTCTATGCTATCTCTCCCACTAGATTGTGAGCTCATGAAGAGAAGGTACTTGTCTTTTGCATTTCTTTGTAACCCTCGCACTCAGTATAAGTTCCTGGAATATAGTTGGAGCTTAATCAATGCTTGTTGACTGACTGATTATTATTTTTATTACTATGGCATATATATATATATATATATATATATATATATATATGTATATATATATGTATACATACACATACATACAAACCATTTATTACTATGGTCTCTCTCTCTATATATATATATTTATAGAACTATATTTATTACATAAAGAACATGTTTACCATTTCTGCCTCTTTACATTTATTTGTAATATTGCTGTGATCTAATACACAGTCCATGAATGTAAAGAAATATTACCAGACTGTAAGAAACCACAAATACAACGAATACAGAAAAGCATGGTAAAATTTGCACAATCTAATGCAGAGGGATACAGGCAGAGCCAAGAAACAATATGCAAAATGACTTCAATGACGTAATTGAAAAAAACACCACAAAATTATTGCTGGCTGTCCCCCAAGCCAATCTCCAACTCTGGCTTCAAGTCTCGGCTGAAATCCTACCTTCTGTAAGGGGCTTTCCAGGTCCTTGAGGCCACTGTTGCCTTCCTCCTCTGAGATGACTTTCCCTCTACTCTGTATATATGTTGTGTGTACCTGGCTAATTGTATGTTGTCTTCCTCATTAGAATGGGAGCTCTCCGAGGGCAAGGGCTGTTTTTGCCTGGCACATGGCACACAATAAATGCTTATTGCCTGGCTAACCAAACTTGCCTGGTTGAAAGAATTTCGTTAATGAAATTTCAGCATGTCATAGGATTGTGAGATTTGAAGCCTGCAGACACCTGATAGATTATGTCACTGAGGCTGATGTTTATTAGTTTACAACCTGCTAGACCTAAATTTGACACTCAATATAAATACCCGGAGGCCATCTCCAGTCATCCTGATCCACATCTTGCCACTTGGACCCAGATGGCTCCAGAGAAGAAAGCGAGGCTGGTGACTTTGCACAGCCCTGCCTCACTTAAGTCCAATTCGCCTGCAAGTCATGACCTCACCATCCTGATGTCATGGTCCTCTTTGAGAACCAAGGACAAACAACGATGAACACCCATCCAATGGGCAATGGCCATCAATACTAACCTCAGTGCCTACAATCACTGACATGCACATTTACAAAGAAAGGAGAACAGAGAATATAGCACGTTTCTCTTTGCAGAACAGGAGAGGTGGAAATAATCATCAAAATTAGGATGGTCAAAAAACTGGATGGATGCAATCAACCAATTCATTTTCTTGCTTAGATGATATCTAATAACTAGTGGAAATTGTTCTGGGGGGATATCGAATTGATGAATTGTTTTGAAATCAGGCAGTAAGGGGGGGATAATTTAGAATACAGTCACCCTTGAAATAAAACTCATGTGAAGGAAATCTGCTTAGAACACAAACAAATTTCAATAAGAAGAAGGGTCCTGACCTTGTGGCAGGAGGCCAGTCTTGTCGGTTCTTCAACAGCAATTCCTGCCAATAGTAATATTGAATAATTTTCATTTGGAACTCGTCTCTCTCTCTCTCCTACGTAAGAATCAGAATGCTGTTTCCCAAAGAAAGTGACCCCCTCAAGCCTTGCTGTGTGAGCACTGGAAGATTATTCTCTGTATGTAATTTTTACAATGCTTCAATAACAGAAAACAGAACTTACAAAGAACATACTGCATGACCCTTTCTTATAGAAATAAATGAACGGATAAATGAACAAACAAATAAATGAATGAATAAATGAATAAATAAATGAGCGGATGAATGAACAGCGCCTTGCACAGAGTACAAGTCCAATAAATGTGTGTTGGATTGAACTGCCCAACGTCCCACTTCCAATTGGAGGCTGAGCTGGGAAGAGACTCCAGGTCCAGGGCTCCTGTTACAATATCAACAATTCATTTCCATGAGGAAACGTGAAACCTGGATTCTGGATGGGTCACCATTAATATTACTTACGCCAATTCAATTCAAACATTTATTAGGTGCCAGCTATGTAATAAGACTACTAGTAATAGATGATATTTATATAATACTTTACAATTTACCAACTTCTTTTTAGGTGTTTATTACATTATTTCATTTTTACAACAACCCTGCAAAGTAGGCGTGATTATTTACTGCTGCCATTCTATAAGTGAAGAAAATGAGGCTCAGAGAGGTTGACTTGTCCAAGGTCACACAGATGGGAAGTGCCTAAGGCAGGATTTGAATGCTCTCTTGACTTTAGTTTTCTAACTACTACACCATGCTGATTCAATGCACAAGGCACTATACCAAGCCCCAGCAAAACAAACATGAAAAAAACAATCCCCATCTCTGCCCTCAGAGTGCAAACAAACTCGTAAGGTGAATGAGATGTACGAAAATAAGCTTGCTGGATGTCAGAATCAATAAAGTGCATGATATCAACTACAAAGGTTGGTAAGATTCAAGAGAGGATTCATCTCTGGCTGGAGGTTAAGAAGACAAGTGGGGAGAGAAATCAGGAAAGGGTTCATTGAGGAAGTGTTGCCTAAGAAAGAAGGACAGTGCGAGATCAGGTTACAAGAAGGCTTCACCCTAAAAATAAATTAATTATTTAAAAACAAGCAAACAAAAAAACAAGTGGGCTTCACCACAGCCCACTTCATAGTTCATGAAAAGGAAGGAAGAGCACAAAATAAAGCTAAAGAGATAGGCTAGGGTCAGATTACAGAAGGGTCTGAATGCCAGGTGGAAGAGTTCATATTTCATAATGTAGATCCTAGAGGGAAAACTTAAGGTTTACCTATAGGGAAAGGACATGGTCCAACCCACACACTAGGAATATAAGTTTGTTAACAATATGAAGGATAGATTGGAAAAGAACAGAGACTAAAAACCAGTGAAGTCTCCATAATTTCTGCGCCAATTGATGGTGGCAGTTGGGTGCCTCAAGGATATCTGGTAGGCTGCAAATTTTCTTATGGGGAAGGGGGTGTTTTTAGCTAGAATTTTTTTTGTAATATGTTGAAACTTATTTCAGTTAATACTTCCCTTTAGCTCTACTCACACTGTGTTATCACTTATAAACTTCCAAGGTTAATGAAGAGAAAAACCAAAGGATCACACTCTGTAAGGGTAAAAAGTATTATGGGCATTTGGGTACTATCATCAATGGGCAGAAATGTTCATTAAATCTAAGTAACATACATTCCGCTGCACCCCCCCCACCCCATCCCCTCATCTATACTGGGAACTCGATTTATTTTCTGAAAATCAGTCCCTGCAACTGAAAATGTGCCCAGATACATTTGAGAATGGTAGAAAGTACCATGGGGTGAAAATTTAGAGTCCTGGGTACATGTCCTGCCTCTGAAACTGACTGGTTGCTTGACCTTGAACAAGCCTCTTCACTTTTGTGAGCTCAAAAGAGGAGACTTGATGGGGACGTAATAGCGCCTTCACGTATGTGCAGGAGGGACTGGACTGGTCTTTTGGGGGCCCTAGGGAGAAGACCCAGGAGCAAAAGTGGGAGGTGCCAAGAGGCCAAAGTAGGCACAACATCAGGAAAGCCTTGGTAGTGACGACTAGGATGGGATTTCTATCAAAGAAATCAGGTTCTCGTTCTGGGAAATGAAGGGGTGGGACTAAAAATAAAAGCTGGCAGCAAACGGCAAGAAATCCATGACTTGTTTTGAAATCTTTTGAAAGTCAACCAGCTCTGGCCCAAAAGACCAACATGGGTCAGAACGTAAGACCAGATACAGACTATCCGGAGACTACCAAGAGAAACTCGAAACGAATTATTAAGGCACCAAGTGGGATTTTTAAAATTTGCATATCAGATAGAAAGTGGAGAGGAAAAAATTAAGATACTTTGGAATCCTAAAAAGGCTGACACAAACTGGACTGCTGTTTGCTTCCCTCCTATATCCTGGCCTAGCCAGTCAACAGGAAAACTTGAGTGGGAATAAAGGTCTGAAATGAGTTGGTCTGTGATATCTTTGGGAGGAAGGTAGACAGGTGGCTAGCTTTCAAAAACGAAAGAAAAAACAGCAAGAATAGTTTTAGAGGAAGCATATAATACATCTTCTAAATGTTATTAAATATAAATGTCACCATCAGCTAGGTCTGGTATTTCAGGAGACCCATTTCATAACCCTCTCAAAGGGTGGACCCTCGGATTACTTTCAGCGGCTTCATTGCTCTCAGACTCAGGTAAACTATTTAGATTCAGTTTAACACTTACGAATTGAGTGTGGGGCCATGGCACTGTATTGAGGTAAGGGTAAATGCTACAAATGAAATTAAGCTCTAAGAAAGAGTGCTTGTTAATGTTAATTCAATGTATTCGGAGCCTAATTTTTACCATGATGACTGGAATAAGTGTCCAAATTCCTGCCTTCATATGTTGCCATCTGGACTTTTAAAAGGTTCTCTGAGTCTCTGTGTGGCATTTGTCCATCCATTTCTACAGTCTCAGATTTAACAGAAATAACCCAGACTGTTTAGGTGAACGGGTAGAATGCTAGTGTATTGTATGATAAAAAGAGATCCAGTTCTGGGATCAATACCCCGCAGGCCAAAACATATACTATGCAATTATTTGCCAATCAATAATCAATCAAACAAACACATATGGAGCAAGTTTGTGCCAGGCACTGTGCTAAGCTCTGGGGATATAAAAAGAGAGCAGGAGAAGATGTTAACTACAATCACCTCCCCTCAGCCAATCATGAAGGCAGTTATGGTGAAAGTAGGAGTTTAGCTGTCATGACATAGAAGGGGAAAGAAGGACAGAAATTCAGGAAATTCCAACTTTCAAGTGGTACCTGCCTGTACATCTCTCATCCATCTGGTTCAAGTGCCACAACTGAATTCTTAGTCATCTTAAGTAGCTGTTTCACTAGCCATATAATTGTAAACACTAGAGAATGACATGCTTTTAGGAAATACACATCCTTTAAAAAGGACAGTGCTCATTCAGCCTCATTATTCTTCAAGTTAATTGACAGGGAAGAACATCCTAATTGCTCATTAGCACTGTAAATGTATCCTGTGTCTTGTGTCAGGGTCTGAGGAGACACACAGCGCAGGCAGCTGCCTACTGCTGTTTCTTTGGGGCTCACTGCATTATATTTACATAGCTAAATAACAGAATTGTGCGGGTTACCAGAAATTTATCCAAGATACAGTAGGATTTTGATAGTTCTCTGCCTTGCCTTCCCATCTCCCTCATCTTCACCATTCCCATACCCCAGCTAATAACATGAACCACAGTACTGATCCAATACCATTAGCTGGGTCTGCTAGGTTCTCTTAGACTAGTCATTTTATGGAAATTGCTTTTGGTTACACGGTAACCTGCCAAGATGGCAGTGGATGGAAGGAGTCCTGGGGGGATCTCGCTCTCACTCCAGTTCACTAATACCCCTTGCTCTTTCCTTCTCCCAAGAATTCAAGACTGAGCTGAATATAAGCATAGAAAGGGAAATCGGAACGTTGTACAATGGCTATTAAACCCTGCTTCTGAAACTGTGCAAAATAATACCAAACACTGCCAAGACTGAGATGGGTCTTGACACCAAGAAGTGGGTTCGACCACACAAAAGGTGTAAATGACCACAATTAGTATTAACATACCAAAAAGGGGACTCCCGTAACGTGATGAATGTTGCAGCCTCAAATTAAGGCTTAGAACACCCTTGCTGGACTCCAATGACCAAGCAGTCATGTGCCCCTATGCATTGGCAAAAACTGTTCCTCTCTTCACACTGCACCAAAAAGAATACTCTAAACAGCAATAAATTATTTGTAGAAGTTTAAAATTGAATTGATCTTTGTCAAAACATAACATAGCATAATGCGGCGGGGAAGAGACTGCTGTCCTGTGGAGATGCAAGTTATTACAAGTTCCAGTAAAAAAAGCAGGTTAAATAATGACATTAATATGTCACTGAACACCCATGCACTTTGGCCAACTTCTGATGCCTGGATAGATCCGGGACCTCATCAACGTGGCTACTGTTCCTAATGATGCATGTTGCAACCCATTTACGGCTTCTCAGCCTGGCTTTGAATCCTAATTCTGCCACCACCTATATGAACCTTGGACAGATTACTTAGCCTTGGCCTCACTTTCTCCACCTGTAAAATAAAGGGACTGTACTCCATGACCTCTAAGATCCCTTCCAATTCTATGACCCCATGAGGCTGCCATAGATCCTCTCTTGGCCTCATTTTCCTCTTCTGAGAAATGAGGGTGTTGGTTAGAATAAATAACCCTTAGGTTTCCTTCTATGACATTCTAAGATTCAGTTTGAAAACTGTAGCTTTATCTTTCCTCCTCAACTCCTGCTCATAAAAAATATTATGTATATATGTATAAATATGTATGTATGTATATATATATATATATAGATATATATATAGATATATATATAAATACACACACACCTCCTTCCACATACATATATTGCCAAGAATCACAATAACAATGGTTTTTCTGAGAGATTTAA